TATCTTTTTTCTAGTAAAACATGATTAATTTAAATCAAATAACTTAAGTGGTGCATTTTTTATGACGGCTACTGTATATTTTAAGTTTAATTTAATTTAAATAATTCTTTATTAAGTTAAATATATTTGAAAAAAAGTCAATTTTTTTCATCCCCTACTGTATTTGCGCCAAGTGATCGCGTAATCCTCTCACATGTATGACTTCCTGCAGAGAAAGGGACGTGTTCAAGTTACATTGAGGCCGCCTAGCAATTGAAAGAGATGAATGGCACGAAATGCTTTGTTCGATTCATTTTATAAAACATCAAAGATGCTAAGAATGTGCTATGTAAGCTAATTATAGAGTGCAAGGTGAAAGGATAGGATATCAGGTGAAAATACTTAAAGTGAAAGAGAAGGAATGTTTCAGGAATCATGTAGGTTACAATTAATACCACACGAAAAACACATTTTACCATCCTCGTACCGTGCGTGATTTAACAATAATTTTAATTTTGATACAATCAAGGTTTCCTGTTAATTGCTGGATAATTGATAAACACGTGATGATTTAGCATAAGGAAAAATCTTAATATTTACATGAAACTATTTATCTATTTACAAGGAAACAATAAAGTTATCGTCAGTTAACAGAGTACTATGACTCATAGCTCTTCATCACTTCCTCCTCGATAATTTCCCTCGGTGCTCTCCTTCCGGTCCAAGCTTCAAATTGCCAAAATCCCTGCTCCATTAACACCTGAATCCCTTCGATCGTATGCCATCCCCTTGATTTACACTTCTTTATTAAATCAGTTATTCTAGGCCTATACGCCATCTCGACGCAGACTCCTTGGTCAAATTTAAGCAGGTCATCGGGTATTTCTAGATTGGCCGTCGCGGGTACTGTGGAAACAATTATTTGGGGCGTCACCGGTAACTGCTGCGACAATGATGCTATGGGCTGAATTCTGTAATCCGGAAATTCTTTGGTTAAGGCATCGACCTTCACAGGCGTACGGTTATACATATAAATATGTTCAACACCGAGCTTATTAACGGCGTATAATGCGGCCCTTGATGTACCGCCGGCCCCAATGATCAATGCAGATGTATTGGAATCAACTTCAATTAAGGGTTTGATCAGATGAAAGATGCCTAACCAATCTGTGTTGTCACCGATAAGTTTTCTACCATCGGAATCATCATCTTTCACGATAATTGTGTTAACAGCACCTATCGACTTTGCGTGTTCTGTGAGCTCATCCACGTAGGACATTATGCTAAGTTTGTGGGGTATAGTCACCGACGCCCCTCCAAATTCTGGATCCTCCAATATCGGTTTAACTGCTTCCACGTCTTGCGATTCAAATAGATCATAAACGTGAGGTAATCCTAACGTCAAAAATCCAGTATTGTGCATTGTTGGTGACATCGAATGTCTGATAGGCGTACCAAAAACAAAATATTTCTTCTTGGGTAATTGCCCGATTAAATGTAACGCCTGATTAATTTCACGCACTGAAAGTTGTCCGGCTGCGGCTTTTGACGGGAGTAAGGGATGTGTTACCGGCGTTAGGAATTTGTTCAATACGCGCGACAGCTGTCCCTCTTCACCCATATTAATAGCGATAATTGGTTTCGAGTTTTCTGCATGTAAAGATTGAACGAATTCTTGTAATTTAAAATTGTCAATAATAGATTCAGCTCTACCAACCAACTTAATGATATCTCCATATTGTTGCGCCGTTCTGAAGATTTTTCGAATTTCCTCGCCGTCCCATCTCATCGATACATCGTGCCACGACGCGATAATCTTTGAGTATCCCTTATTACTAATCAAATTGGAAATCAAATCACTAGGCCCCCCAATCTCCAAGTCTATATATTCACAACCCCATTTGATGGCTTGCCCCAAAAGTACAAACATCTCTTTCTTTCTATTGTCTGGGAACCTTCCACCTTGACCTTTTGATCTTACTGTGAAGATGATGGGAAGTGTCGATGAACGTCTTATCAATGCCAATTGCTGTGCAACGTAATCAGTCGATGGCACGTCGTTCACGTCACGAGACGTCAGAGAACCGTCTTGGGTGAGCAAATCTACCCGAAGTTCGATGGCGTCCACGCCGTATGTTATCGCAGGTATGTGATTCAATGCAGGCGTGATGTCCGGAAATGTCAACGACACAAAGAACGATCTCCTTGGACTTCGCGTATCGATCGGGTCGGTCGTGAATCCAGAGATAAACCTCAGAAATCGTTCGACAAGTTTCCATTCACGTTGAACAATATCTTCATCGGTGACACCGTTTATACTACTAACGGTAATGGCGACAAATTCGTAATTTGAGCATTCCTTGTACCATCCCTCGCGTCGTCTCCATACATCATAGATGTCCTCACCATATGCCGGACGTATAGTATCGGTATTCAAATACTTAACAATTTCTTTAATATCTCTTACAATATGTATAACCTTCCCTTTTTTACGAATGTATTCTTTTAAAAGATTACGCGAAGATGGTGTTTCGACGATACCACCGCCACAAGAAATTATGCAACCAGATGTCATTTTAAGCAAAGAACTAAGAAGTTCAAATTCTTTTTCGCGAAAAGCCTCCCATCCATGTTTACTTATAAATTCCGGAATGGTTGTGGATAGTGTGGTTTCGAAATGGTGATCGGCGTCCACATACTTGCGGCCCAGAGCTTTGGCAGCAGCTTTGCCTAAATAAGTTTTTCCGGCACCACGCATCCCAATAAATAAGATAGATGCATCTTGCTCCGACAGGCAATAAGGAGAAATCGTGGTCTCAACCTTTTTGAAATCATTTTGTCGAGGTACTAAATCTAAACCTTCGAGTTTTATACTTAACTTCGACTCTAAGACATCCCACCAACCAGGCCAGGTCTTATCGACGCATTGTTTTTCACGTATAATGGTGCCACCAGGAACCACACATCCAAGTACACTGAAGCTCATTGCCACCCGGTGATCGTCATAACAGTGAACGCCCTCTGTTGGTCCCCGAAGGGTGTCAATTTTGGAACCATGGATCTGAATTCCGTCAGGCAACTCAGATGCAACGACTCCGAATTTACTCAATTCATCAATCATGGCCGCGATTCGGTTACATTCTTTCAGTCGTTGATTGGCAATGCCGGTTATCCGAGTGACGCATTCTTCCCCATCTTGTTGACTGGAGGCAACAGCCGCCAACACTGAAGCGGTCAGAAATGCATCGGTCATTGATTCCATGTCAATGTTAGGCAATGGTTTGAGTGAACCGATGGGTGGCCCTTGCACCGTGGTACTTGTAGGAGTTTGAGTCACCTTGCATCCCATTTGACGAATGACCTTCACGGCAAACGCCGCATCACCTTGAAGGGACGATGATCCGATATTTGGAAGAGTGCATGATGTACCGGTGACGGCTGCAATTGCTAATGGGTACGTAGACGAGCTCGCATCCGACTCGACCATGTAAATCTCGGGATTCTTATAATGTCCCTGCGGAATACGATACACGTCGTCATCTAAACGTTCAACTTTTATTCCAAAGGATTCCATCATTGCAATGGTCATATCGATGAAAGGTTGGGATATAACTTGTCCCCCCGTCAGTTTTAATGTCACAGGTTCACTGGCGTATGGGGCGCTTAAAAGTATTGATGATACGTACTGCGACGAGATTGAGGCGGCAAGATTTATCGTTCCACCACGAAAACTCTTCTCTCCAGGCGTTATCTCAAGTGGAAGGCAGCCATCACTTTCGAGATATTTGATTTGAGATCCATTCTCACGAAGAGCATCCACCAGAGGACCAATTGGGCGTTGCTTCATACGTGCATTTCCCGTTAGGATCGTATGTTTTTTTTCTTCGGTGGTAGAATCCGGCGATATCAACGTGCAAACGGTTGTGATGAACCTCGCGGCAGTTCCTGCATTTCCAAGATAGATCTCCCTATTGGGAACTCGAACGTTTCCGCCGCCACCTGTAACGACTAATGTTTCACCGTCATCTTCCCATTCGAATTTTGCTCCTTCAAGATCCATTAGGGCACTGAGCATAACTTGCGTATCGTCCGAATGAAGTAATCCTTTAAGCCGACAAGTGCCAATTCCAAGTGAAGCAAGAATCAACGCGCGATTCGAGATCGATTTGGATCCCGGGGTTTTTATCGTAACGTGTTCTTTTAAATCTGAAGAAGGTTCGACTGGGTGAACGATGATGGCAGGCGAAAGAATTTTGTGGATCACACTGTCGGATACAACGGTGGCTTTTTTCCCATTGACTTTTCCTATACCCCCCAAAAGAACAATTCGTTTTTGACCATTTCTATTTTTCTTATCGACCTTCATAATAGTCATCAACCGGTCTACAGTGACATGTTCATGTTTATCGCCGACCAAGTCTAAAACTTTCTTTTCACCATATGAAACTGGCAAGCCGTAGTTCTGTAGGCATCTTATCAACCGACCTAATGTAACCTGATTGAGATAGCCCAAATTCCTCGCAATTTCGGCTTCTTTAACCATACCGATGGAAATACATTCGCCGTGAAGCATTTCCGGAGAAAGAATGGTCTCAATAGCGTGACCTATACCGTGACCAAAGTTGAGTATCTCGCGAAGACCGCTCTCTTTTTCATCGTTTGTTACCACATGAGCTTTAAATTTCACGGCGCCAACAATCACAGAAAGTAAGAGTGACTGTCCCGGAGTACGTGTATCAACTGTTGCCCCTTGAAAAGAAACCTCTCTTTTGAACTTGAGCGCAGAGCGAATACTTTCCACATTATTTTCGAGATTCACAAAATCATTCTCACTCCATATTGCTGCCGATTTTATCACCTCACCCATACCGTTAATAAATTGCCTCTCGGGCAACGTCTCCAAGTATACCAGGTCAATATATATCCTTTTTGGTTGCCAAAAAGCGCCAATCAAGTTTTTGCCGTGAGGAGTGTCTACAGCCGTTTTACCGCCAATCGATGCATCCACCATAGCAAGCAGTGTTGTTGGAATTTGAGCGAAAGGGACGCCACGCATAAAGGTGGCCGCAGTGAATCCCACCAAATCACCGATTACACCACCACCAAAGGCAATAATAAAAGTGTCGCGCGTACATGCTTCGCTTAACAGGTAATCTTCAATCTTGGCCTTGGTCTCTCTTGTTTTCGATTCCTCTCCCGGTGGAATTGCATATGTTAAAAATCTCGGTACCGAAACGTTCTCACCTTTGGCTCGAATTAATTCAGTGGCAGCGCTCTCGAATCGATTCAGTAATTTTTCAAGATGAATTGATGCGATGATTGTATCCGTGATAATTGCATAAGTTGACGCCGGGAAATTCGATAATAAATCTTTAACCAAATAATCGGTCAGGTAAAACCCGATGATAATTGATTCTTCGTTTAATATTGATACCTTGACCACATCAGGCTCTGGCTGTTCTGAAGTAGTTTCCATCTTTACAAATAGTATTATTTATTATTCGCTAAAGATTCATAATCATAAAAAAAAGCACACTCCGAAATTATGGGTTTTCGCAAACGCAAAGGATTTAATCCGAGATTATCGTACAAAAACATGATCTTTGTGAGTCATACTGATGTTTAATTTTTTATCAGCGGATCATTCATTGTATAGATTATCCTATCGGAAATATCAAATTCAAATACGTGGCGCAAGGTTCACTCGAAGCCATAGAAAAACTTGATTCCACAATAATTCCTCTTAAAAAAATTATGCGGAAATAGTAGTAGCTATCATCACAAGTTCCTATACCATATGCGTGCGTATATTAATTACGTAATTTGATTGCAAAATCAGAATTTGATTTTTGGTTCATCCCGAGTTAATTTACTGTATTAAATAGATCATGTTTAGTGAACGAATATTTTTCATACTGTCCAAGAACTTACAGATCATTAAAGAGTCATTGTTACTTGAAGGATTAATCTATTATTGTTTCATAATGTTAATTTAAATATTATAAAAATTTTTTTTTAATATTTACAATAATGTATAAATTATTTATATGTTAGTTAATGTATTATTGTATAGTGTATTATTAATTAAAGAATTAAAAGTTCACTAAGCTAGTTTAGATTAAGCAAAACAAAGTTTCAATTAAATACTCTAAGTCAAATTTAAAGAATAATATTTTACTTTTCTAGTAAATTGTTATCAGATTTTAACCTATCATCAAATTAAAATAATTTATCATTATTATATATTAAAAAAAATAATTTTATATATTAATTCATCTGTTATTGAAATTAATTTTCTCTAAATATAACTTAAGAAATAATATTTTATTTTCTTTATAATGGAGTTATTCTATAGTTATAAACTTTATATTTAGAAATTATTACTATAAATTTTTCAGAGTTTTATTAAATAGATTAAAAATTCAATTGTTTTTTTTTTTCCAGTAATTTTTTCAAATATATGTTATTTTTAAATTGTACATTTACTAATATTTTTTTTTCAAAATCTATTATATTTTTAATAATTTTATTTCTTGAGACTTTATTTTTCTTGTTTTTTTTATATTAAGTCTATAATTATTTTTTATTTAATTATATCAATACAATAATTATTTCAGATCTTTTTTTTTTTTTAATTCACAATTATACCATAATAGCTTGTTTTTATTAAGAAATGAAAATAAAATCTATAATAGTTTACAGACTTTCACAAAATGACTAACTTATTTTTATACATAAGTACTTTAAATTTAATTTTAAAAACAATATTATATTTCTTCAATAGATTGGTAATAACCTCTATCTATCAAAATTATTATCAATTGTTTGTTACTATTAATTAATACAAAAATCAATAAATTATTAAATTAAAAAAAAAAAAAAAAAATTTGATTTGGAAGAAAATGATAATTCAAGATCTATCAAAAAAATTTAATAATAAAAATAATCTTTTCTCAAAAAGAATTACTTGATTGGAATAGTTTTCTTACTTCACTTGAATCTCAAAAAAAATCTTTTTTTTTATCATCTGTGACATGAAACAAATCAATTCAACTGATTTTTAATTTAAGTAAGTATCAAATTAAAATATCTTAAGAAAAGCATTTAGATCTTAACTTTTTTTTATTAAAGTTTTGTCATTACTTGAAGAACTTAAGTAAGAGATAGAAGTTTACAATTTATATTATTCATTACTTGATCTTTTAATGTCATAAAAATCTTTATTAAGGGACTTTACTTTTTGGAGGCAAATGTTTTTAGAATATTCTTTTCAATTATCAAGGACATTATCAGAAAATATAAGTGTGATCAATAGGAGCTTGTTTATATTTCAGAAACCAACATGTTTTGTGTCAGTCAATTACTTTTGATAAGGATTTGTATTATCAAAAATTTAGAATCAAATTGAAATAGGCAAAATTTCTCAAAAAATCATAAAAATGGAAGTTTTAAGAGGGTTAAAACAATTTAAAAGAAAGAAAGTAAACCTTTTAACTATATAAAACCTTTATAAACCTTTCATTTTCAAGATTAAAAAGGGTTTCAAATACTTTACAATTAATTCTTCTTTCTTTGAAAACTTTCTTATTATTGATATTAAAGGTATTACTTGATTTTTCTTGATCATTGAAAGTCATATTTTGGGATAAAGAGACTTGTAAACAATATAGAAAGGGTAGAGACAACTCTTGAAGTCAGACTTCAAGTTGTTTTGTAAAAAATATTAAGACTTTATTAGCAAATAAGTGAAAAAACTTTTTGCAAACCTCTTTTTTGTATATTATTAAAGAATCAGTAAAAAGAATATAACTATTTCTGATTTTTTTTTTTTATAGCTATTTTATATTTATTAATAAAATTTCTTAATTGTTTTTTTTATAATTAATTTTATTTTATATTAAATTTTAAGATATTCTTGAATAATTTTAATTTTGTTTTTATATACTAGTCAAAAAAAAATTATTTGACATATTGCCACTCATGTAACATTCAGTAAAAAATAAACAATTTAATAAAAAAATAATATAAATAAATTGACAATTATATAATTTGATTATAAATATTACAAGAATTAGCATATTAATAATTTGTTAAAAAATTTATTAATAATTTATCAAATAATTCATTAACTATTTAGCAAAAATTCATTAAAAGTTTGTCATAAAATTATTTATTAGTAGCTTAATAAAAATTCAGCATTAATTTATTAATAATTTATCAAAAATTTGTCAACTATTTATTAAAAATTTAACAACTATTTATCAAAACTATTTATTAAAAATTTATCAACTATTTATTAAAAATTCATCAACTTTTTATTAAAATCATTCATTAAAAGTTTATTAACTATTTATTAAAAATTTGATAACTATTCATCAGTAATAAAATAAAAAAATTAATAAACTTATATGTGAATTTTTTTTTTTTTTTTTTTTTTAACCCGCAGTCAGGTCAATATGGCTTGTCCATTTTATTGTAAACATATTTGATATTTACA